GGGTGCTATTGCGGGGCCCGCTACCTTCGAGGGCACAAGGCGAGACCTTCCCCCGGCCTTGCGCTGGGGCGGGACCGCGCTGTTCCCCAGAGGCTGTGTGCGAGGGTGGCGGGAGCACCCCGGGAGGAGCCAGCCGGGCCCTGAGGCGCCTCGGGCAGAACAAGGGGTGTCAGGCCTTTGCCATCCCGCCTCTGCACATTGCTGAGCAGCGTGGGGTGACAGCGGGAGGAACGTTTTGTAGATTAAACCCTGATCGTAACAGACATCAGTTCGGGAAGATCCCGAAGGTGTTAATCCCGGCGTGCCTTCCCAGCAGTCGCTCTGTGCCCATGTAGGGATTCACCTGTGGTTCCAGTTCTTCACTGAAATCTTTGCAGCGTTGAGGTGGCATCCTCACTGAGAGCGGGATGGGTGCGTTCGGAAACGGTTAGAAAGGTGCAGAGGGGTCTGCTGCATTGAAAGAGGTTTCCTAAACTGAGATGGGTTATAACATGGGTCCTTCCTGCCCGTTTGGTGTGGTGTAGGGTCAGGTTGGGCGCACAGTTCAAGTTCAGGCAGCTGGCACCACCTCTCTCCAGCAAAGAGAGCCCTTGTGGTGGTCCTGCGTGAGACCTGCATAGGAACTGAGCTCCTCTTTGCCACCTGTTTGTGGAAACAGAGCAGGAAAACATTTGCTGCACCAAAGAGCTTGTTAACGTAAAGCCAAAAACAAAAGACTGGCACATGAAGTACCCCAGCTGTCCAGCCATTACTTAATCTTTACAAGATGCCTCACATCCAAAATATGAGACTCGCACTTTTTGCAGCCTGTTCTGTCAACATCGGTGGCAAAACCAGTTTCGGTGAAAAACATTGTGCAAACAGCCAGTGTACTTTATTTTGTCTTCATGCTCCCTAATGCTTTGTTTCTCTCTCTGCTGTCATTACTTTAAAGCCAATCTAAGCAGGATTCAGATTCTGCTAAGCTGCTAAAGATAATTAGCTGCCTCCTTCTTATCCCTTTTTTTATTAAGAGACATTTATACAATGGACTCCTTAAGTTCAAAACACCTCTTCTAGCAGACATTTGCTGTTACGTGCCTAAGTTTGGCAGACCAAGGTTAAGCATCTCACTTTGTCTTCTAGTTATTTCTGTCTTGATTTGCAGTAGGGTGCTGATCTCAAGCAAGTACTCATTATTCTAAGCCTTCATGTATTCTGTGCTCTGATTCATGCCATAATCAATAATTCATGTGTTGATAACAGCCCCATTAGCTGAGATGAAGCCAGTGTCCTTATTTATAATAAGAACATTCCGCTTTCCTAATGGCTTTTCTCTTTTCCAGAGAGTGGTGGTTGTGGAAGACATAAAACGATGGAAGTGTATGCTTGAACTTCCTGGGCAACCAAAAGAGAATTTGATTGAAGCTTTGGAGGAGCTGAAGAAGAAGATACCTTCCAAAGAAGTGTTACTTTCAACAAAAATAGGTACATCTTGTCTGATCTAGACTGTGAATATTAGGCTGTCTTGTGTCTGCTTGGCTTGTCATCACAAAAGAGACTAGCTTGCAAGCTTTTTAAGAAACGAGTGTAGCTGCCAATAAAAAATTGTTGATATCCAGCCTGCAGTTTTCAGAGCTTGTACTGAAAAAGTCAGCTATCCTCTAATTGCTCCCAGGTTGCTTGCTTATTACCAAATACTGCATCATCCCTTCTGTGGTCAAATTTTTGAAAAGTTCTTCTTGGTCACCTGGGTGTCTTATTCCTTCTCTTGCTGTCAGGGACATGGCAGAGTGCTCTCTTGACATCCGAGACATGGCTCATCTATTTGACCTGGCTGAATCTTCTGAACACGTGAAAATTTCTCCTCAGATTGGCCCAGAACTGCTCATTGCATCCTCACACTGAGAAATCCCCAGCGGAAGAGCAGCTCCATGCAATGCCACAGCCTTATGTTTGGCTCTTTTACATAGGACTTGGGGGAGGGATGATGTGACACCACATGGTCCCTGCCTTTCCTGTCTGCAGAGAGCATCCTGGTGTGAAAGATGGTCGTGTTGGCCTTTGTTTGCCATTAGAGCAGCTGGATCTCTATTCAAAGAGCCTTAGAAAAGGAGATGCGATCTGCCCCTTTCCCTGTACCTCTGTGATGTCATTTCGTTTGCCATGTTCAGCTTATTCAGGCTTTTCCTGAGATTCTTTTTCCCTGAGTGCCTGGGCTGGAAGAGCCACGGAAGCCTAACAGTGACATCTCCTGGCCAACAGCGCTACTGGTCAGAAAGAAATACCCCGCTGGAAGAAGGTCCCTTTTGTCTCCTCTCAGAGGAAACCCTTTCTGCAGGCCCTGTCGATTGGAAAGATTCTGCTTGGAGTCACCATGATGTTTGCATGTTAAAATGCTACAGCCATCACCAGCAACATCTGCTTCCTTAAAGGGGTTTTCAGTGTAACAACAACATTCTGTGTAGGCCAGTATTAGAAGCTTTCACCAGATCTAGTATCTTTTTAGAAAATTAATGTAGCCCTGTATTACATAAGTGTCTGTCCACACCTTGGTGATTTGGAAAGGTAATTTTCACATGCATAGATCAATTACTTGTTAATTGCTCAGGCAAAAATCGCTGCAGAAGTCAAGGTGTGAGAACTTCAGGCATCATTCCTAATAATTTTATGTTTGTGTCAACGCTCTGGTTGTTTTACTGACATTACCTGAATTAAAAATGCATGTGGCTGTTTTAGCACCAATATGATTTGACCCGTGTCTGTTATATTTTGTCCACCCACCAAAGCTGAAGGAGCTGTCGCTGTTTTCCAGGTCACACAGTGAATAAGATGCGCAAACATTCAGATCACGATGTGGCCAGCCTCGCCAAAGATATTTACACGGAGTGGCGAACTTTCATCAAAAACCATTCAAACAAGCCCTCAATAGAGGTCAGGAGCGATCCCAAGAGCGAGGCTTTCAGAAAGAACGCACGGAAGCTGCTTTGTGAAGCCCTGGATCTAGAGGTAGCATTCAGATCTATTTGTCTTCGGCTCAAAGAGTTACTTCTTGTAGGAAAAAGTTAAACAAACCTTTTTCAGCTATTGTAAAACTGGTCCTGCCGGCAGAGTGGGGACAAGACCAGATGATCTGTTCCTATTTTCAGTGATTCACTGCGTGTCACTATTTATAAGTAGCTTTGTTTTCAAGGTAGGTAATTTTTTTTTTGGTTGTTAACCAAGTAAATGTGCTAATTGTAAGTCAGGTGTATTTGCTCTCATTTACATAACTAGTCAACAGAATAGATGTGTATCTACTGCAGTTGAGTTGTACAAGAAAAGGAGGAAGTTAATAGAAATAAAGTTTTTCCTACTACATAACAGCTGTGAAAGCAACACTGGGACCTTTTAGGTGTTTCATATTTAAGTAATTAAACATTTGTAAATTTAAATCTATTGCAAAAACAGAGAGGCAAGGTTGACAGTATATAAAGTGGTGATAAATACCAGATCCCTCAGGTATCTTTAAGTAAATGAACAGGGCTTTGCTGAAAGGCTTAATGACTAGTTTGCTTGGTCTATGAAATGCCATAATAATTATCCTTTTTAATTTATTCATTAATTATCCTTTAAATGGCAAGTCAAGTGATAAGCACTCAGGAGTTTCAAAGCTATGTGCTTGCTAGCTGTGAGAACAACCTCTCCAAATTCCAGTCCGTCTGGACTGAGGCAGCACAAAAGGATGGTTTGCTGTGGGAATGCCTCAGAATGGAAAGGTGGGAGCTCGTCTTTGCCAGGCCACTGGATCGAGCTTAGTTCTTGGAAAGCACAGTGATAAGACTGGTAGTAAAGCCTGAACCTGTGGGACATACAGGCTATGGTACTACCCTAAAATAAGCAGTATTGGGTAAAGCAGAATCACCTCTGAACAGGACTCACCTGAAAGCACAGCAAGGAGAAACACCCTTCTAGCTTGCAGCTACCAGTGTATGTCCAAGCAGAACTTGCAGCAGCAGATGAACAGCATTTATAGGCAGGGAGCTACAGAGGTCCAGCAAATGGGGAGCAGGGGCACCTTTGAGAGGCTGACAAAAAGGAGAAGGGAAGTTGGGGCTGAATGGATCCAAGGGGCTTCTAGTGCTGCCCAGCAGAGCAGCAGTTTAGTGATGGGTAGCAAAGGACTTGGAGGAATACTACTTGGCATGCTGGAATCTCCTGTATGCAAAGCATGGGAGATGCCCCATCACAAAAGACAGAAGTGAAATTAAAACTGTTTCTTGGTGGGTGGGGAATTTTTTTTCTAAGCTGTGCTAAATTACAGGTTTTGGCACATGTTGAAGCAATAACTACATAATTAACATTTAGCAAATCCCTTTCTGCATTCTTAATTATACCTCCTTCTACACACAGAGAGCCCACATTTCCCTTTATAGCACCAGGCAGAGTTGCCAAGTTGTGGTGGGTTGACCCTGGCTGGAGGCCAGCTGCCCACCAGAGCTGCTCTATTACTCCCCTCCTCAGCTGGACAGAGGAGAGAAAATATAACAAAAAGCTGGTGAGTCAAGGTAAGGACAGGGAGAGATCACTCACCAATTACCATCTTGGGCAGAACAGGCTCAGCTTGGGACAAATAATTCAATTATTACCAATCAAATCAGAGTAGGATAATGAGAAATAAAACCAAATCTTAAAAACACCTTCTCCCCACCCCTCCATTCTTCCCAGTCTTAACTTTACTCCTGATTTTCCCTCCTTCCTCCCCTCTGAGCAGCACAGGGGGATGGGGAATGGGGGTTGTGGTCAGTTCATCACATGTCTCTGCTGCTCCTTCCTCCTCAGGGGGAGGACTCCTCACACTCTTCCCTTGCTCCAGCATGGGGTCGCTCTCATGGGAGACAGTCCTCCATGAACTTTTCCAACATGATTCCTTCCTGTGGGCTGCAGTTCTTCATGAACTGCTCTAGCATGGGTCCCTTCCACGGGGTGCAGTCCTTCAGGAGCAGACTGCTCCAGCGTGGGTCCCCCACGGGGTCACAAGTCCTGCCAGAAAACCTGCTCTCAGCCTGGGCTCCTCTGTCCACAGGTCCTGCCAGGAGCTTGCTCCAATGTGGGCTTTCCTTGGGGTCAGCCTCCTTCAGGTGTCTCCACCTGCTCTGGTGTGGGGTCCTCCACAGGCTGCAGGGGGAATCTCTACTCCCCCATCATCCTCCATGGGCTGCAGGGGAATCTCTGCTCGAGCACCCGGAGCACCTCCTGCCCCTCCTTCTGCACTGACCTGGGTGTCTGCAGAGTTGTTTCTCTCACATATTCTCACTCCTTCTCCAGCTGCAGTTTCACAGTTGGTTTTTTTTCCCCTTCTTAACTCTGTTATCCCAGAGGCACTACCGCTGTTGCTGATGGGCTTGGCCTTGGCCAGCAGCGGGTCTGTCTTGGAGCCGACTGGCCTTGGCTCTATCAGACAGAGTGGAAGCTTCTAGCAGCTTCTCGCAGAAACCATCCCTGTAGCCCCTCCGCTACCAAAACCTTGCCACGCAAACCCAGTACACAAGTGTTTGACATATCTTAGAGTTGCTGTCTGAATTAAGTTTAAAATAGTATCCAAGGTACCTTACATCGGCAAGATCAAATGTGAGCTTTATGGAGATGGTCCAACATCGCTTATAATTGCAGTTGAGCTTGATACCCAGAGCTAGCTGCAGATTAGTTTCCTGTTGTGACGGCAAAGTACTGCCACCCAGCTGGAGATGCGGCTGTGTTCCCTGCTACTGACCACATTGCCTTGTTCCTTAATTGCTAGGGTGGAATTAAATTGCTCTTCCTGTTACAGTTGTGATGGGAAGTAGATTTCCTTGAATCTAAGCTGATTAATGAAGAAACACTGAAAAGCATCAAACTCTAATTTCAATGAGTCGGTCTCCTTATTAAATGTAAAGATCTAATTTTGTACTTTGTTGTTTTCAGATTGATCACCCACTGGCTGAAAATATTGAGCGAGAAGCTTTTCATCTCTCTTCCCGTCTCATTAGCACACCGTATCGCAGAACGGTGCGAGCTCTTGTCTTCTCATTAAAGCACAAACCTGAAATCCGAGCAGAAGTCAAGACTGGCACGCTCACTGTCCCTGCGTTTGTACAGAGCCATAAAAAGTGAGGTGTCGTGCTTGATCCTGAGTGAGAACTTCGTGCGCCTACATCTCTGTGGAACTGGGAGCCCTTTCTGTTGTGAGGGGAGTGCAGAAGTGCTGGCAGCGTGACTCACTTGGCACCTCTCTATGAGCAGGGCTGCTGAAGACAAGAACTAATGATGAAAGTGGTGCTGTAAATCCGACTCAGTGGAAATCCATGTGGGCTTGTTGCAAGAAAAGTTTCTTCCACGCTGCTGTATGATTTCATGCTACAAAGCCTTCTCTGACTTACCTGTTTCTTACTTCTGTCCCTTTGTCACGCCTCAGTTTAGCTCCATCCCTGATGTGGTTCTTCAGGTGTAATCAGCTGAATAACACAAAGGAGCAGCTCTGTGCTGTGCTGGTAGGAAATACTGGGAATTCAGGGTAATTGGTCCAGGGAGGAGATTGCTAGTGGATAACTGCAAACTGTAGTTACCCCTAAATCCCTGCTGCGGCTGGGCCCTGCTCTGTGGCAAGAGCTAGCTGTTTTGCCAAGCCAGGTGATTTGCCTTTGCTGCATTCCAGAGTTGGATGCAAAATGGGTTTCCATAACTTGCTATCCACCATTCCGTAGGCTCAGTCATCCTGTAATTGTGGGCATTTTCTAAAGCCCCGGGGTAAATCAAAGTGCCCTGGAGTATAGGTGCTGTCTAATGAGCTGCTCACTCAGACCTCCGTACCTCACTCATGGTTTAAACATGGTGCTTGTTCTTACTGTAACGTGAAAAAAACTTGAAATGAATTTTCTAAATAAAATTAGGTTATGAGCAAAATACTCCTTTTAAAGGCTTTTTTCCTCCAGGAGGAACATGGTTCAGAATGATTGTGTGAACAAATTTAAGCAACAAACTATTGTTTTAATTCTTTCCAGTTAAAAACTGGAAATTTTGCCTTTCATTTTGCTGATTTCTCTAGTGCCACAAATCATCTTGTTATCCATAAGCTATTATTAAGGCTGTGACAGGCACGATGTTTCTCTGCTGGTAGGTAATAAAGCATTCTCTGTTCTGCCTCTGTGTGTGTATGTACACAAGGGACTGGTCACAAACCTTTTTCTGAGTTATCAGGGTAGAAGCAAATATGGGGATGAGTGAAACCTGCCTGTTCATGGTCATGGGAGTTGAAGTCTAATATACCATGAAGAAGTATCTATCTTTTTATCAGTCTGGGCAGCACTATTTCTGAAGAGTAACTTAAGGACAAATAATGCAGTGGGAAAACTACGAATTAGTCTTCATCCTAAAACAGGACTGAGTGTCATTATGTGGACCTGCTAAATACTTTTTTCTTCTCGGGACGCTAAAAGCTAAAGAAACATTCAAAACTTACCTATGGTGTTGAACTCCCTACATTTCATTAGATAGTTGCAGGTTCTCTTAACACCCAAGTCCTGTTTTGTTTGCTTGGGCCAGTGCAAGACCATTTCTTTCTGTACAGATTGTGACGGTACCTTCAAACAGCCAGCTTTTCTGAAAACGGTGATGCTCTGGCGTACAGACATTTTATTTGCAGAAAGTTAAGGTTAGGTGTGTTGCAGACAGTATGAGACACAAATTGGCGAATATGTGAGTGGTGATTATATGGATAATACGTCAATAAAGACTTAACACTTGTTGACCAAACTGTAGTAAGAGATGTGAAAACCCTCAATTTATTTCTTAGGAGGATTCAGCTCCATTTCCCACTTAAATAACTTCAAACTGCACAGCTGTAATTGAGTTCACGTGTCCTGTACTGTCACAGAAAGAGTTCGGGATCAATGAACAACATTGCTTCCAGAGCTGCAATGCCAAGACCTGCAGTATTTATTTTCCTGGTGCTGGGCTGTTTCTTCTGTTTAGGTAATGCATGAGAAGCAAAAATCCTGAAAATGGATTGGCAAAAGCGATAGCAACCACTGTCAGCAGGCCTGTCTGAGATCTGTTCGCTGTAATCTTGCGGGCTGTCTGAACATCAGTTGGGGTTAGTGTGGGACAGCCAGCGCCTCCCCAACTCTGCAGACAGCATGGAACAACTTAGAGGTGCATGTGAGCTCTTCTGCGCCACAGTCCGTCCTATGCCATCAGGCTGAGATATAAGCAAGACTCTGCCAGGCCCGTCTCTTCCAGGTGACTTTTTCCATGTGCTCTCCTGGTCCCTGACACCTTCCTTTTCAGAGCAGCCTTCAGGGAAGAGAGACTGTTTGTTTGTTTGATCTGCTTTGGATACCTCCAGCTCTTTAAGGTACACATTGCAGAGAGGATTTTTTTCACCTGCGCAACTGCATTTATTTATGGCTTAGGTTACCTACTGGATCGGTTTGCTACTCCAGCTAAAGCCGAGCACAGCCCATTCTTCGTTCCCTCCCCTGGCCAGTGCAGCCAGCGGGGAGACTGGGAGCGTGTGACTCGTGGATGAAGCAGGTGGCCAGGCATGGCCGGTTCCCAGCGCTGTGATCTGTTCAGTTGCTGTAGTCTGTGTGACTTCTGGAAATCTCTTGAAATAAAGGGTCTGGAAGGGCACAAGCATGTGAATCATACAGAGTGCATTGCTCCCAAGGCTGGCCTGGCTCTGAAATACCTGATCTGCTATCTGTGAGTGCAAACCCACTCACAGGGGAGTCCTGCAGGACCCTCTCCGGCATCAATTCCCCTGCCACATGGGTTACACGTCAGGCTGGGGGGTGAAGGTACCACTCACACATCCTAAAGCTTGGCCTCACTGGTCCAGACATGCATTTCTCCTAAATTCTGCTCTTTCTCCTCCAGTTTTACTTGGCAGCTGCAGTGTGGTGCAGACCAGCCACAGGGTACCGGTAAGACACATTACAAAGGCAGGGACTCTCCACAAGCTCCTGTCTTCACGCTGGGGAAACCCTTTTAGATTAAAAGCGAGGATGAAAGGGCTGAGCAGTGGCTCCCTTGTGCAAGTTTCTCTGGCATGGTGCCTTTGAAATAGCTGGTTCCCTTTTTACAGGGGAAACATTAGATCAAGAAGCCACCCAATCTGGAGAAAAGGTTCTTCTTTTTTTCCTTTTCTTACCAGATTAAGCCCAGCCTACAGATTCCTTTCAGTGAAAGGGTATATAAAGACAATGGCCCTATAGAGACTTGCTGCACCCAGCGAAGAGAGGAGGGAAGCACCTTGTGGAGGTGAGGGACACCCCCTGCTCCCACTGCCTGTGCTGCTGGTGCTTAGGGAGTACAGGGTGGGCTCGGGGCGGCACCGGCAGGGATGGAGGGGGAATTCACCCCCACCAGAGCTGACTTCTGATCAGCAAGTTTGGGAAGGCACCAGGCAACAGCTTGCTGCATTCCCCATCAGCAGGCACAGCTCAGGAGAGCTTTGTCCTACCGCAAATTACTTGGGCGAAAAAAGACAGGAGTAGACAAGACCCTCCCTGTCCTTCAGAAAAGAAAGTGCGCAGCAGCTTACCATTTTTCATCTTTTAAGAGGCTCTTCAAAGGTTTCTCCGCAAAGAATCCAAACTTTTAGATCTCATTTTCTTCCCTGGCAGCTGTGTAATATGAAGGGTTTGCTGGGCTGACCCCCAGATTAAGAGATGCTAAGGCAAGGAGCAGCCACAGATGCCTTTTGGAGCCCAGATCATTTGAAGGAGGCTCTGGAGCAGAGGAAGGACAGAGGAAAACAGAAAGGAAGAGGCAGAGGGAGGGAAACACATCAGGGAGCTCCCCAACCCGGCTGGCTGCAAACTCTCACTCTTCCATGCAGGGCACAGCACCAGAAGCACTGAGTCTCCCTTGCTGCTTTAAATAGCTGTAGCATTTTTTTAATGCTAATGAGTGAGCCCTCCCGTAGCAGACATCATGTTGTGGAGAATCCCAGGAACACTGGAGAGCTCTCCTGCATTTATGTAAACACCCCTCTGCACAGGTGTAGATATTGCAGGATAAATTGCCCCCATTTAAGTGGATGAACTGGCATCTCACAGGAGGGGAAACTGAGGCATGAAGGAACACTGACATGCCACAGGATGCAAAAAGAAGGGAAGCCCATGCTAGGGTTACACTGTAATTAATGATGCTCTTAATTCTTCTGCTGGCAGTCCACTGAATGACATCCACAGTCTCTATCAATTAGACTAGATTATGGGATAATCCTTGCTAATTATATATTATTATCCAGCAAGCAGTTATCTCCCCATAAAGGGTGCTCCTATAATGGACAAATGCTGTTCCTCTAACACAGCCAGCCCCAATGGCAAAACGAAAAGCCAAAACCAGTTCGGCTGTGGCAAATATTTTGCCTAAGCTGAAATTTTCACATTGCAAATGCTGCACTCCCGTCCCAGACGGAGAGGGGAGGAGGGCTGTGACATGCAGGGCCAGCTGGAGAGGGGAGGCAGGGTTAAATCTGCACCCCCAAACCTGCCACAGAGGCATGACCATAAACTGCAAATCCAGCTGTAAACTCTCCCATCCATCATGGAGCAAATGCCCCATTCAGCCTCCGCATGCCAAACCCCCCACGAGCAGGGGAAGAGGACCTCACTGTCCCCGGGGCTGCGATGACCGGCAAGCAGAGTTTAAAATAAGCTGGGGAAAAAACTCCCGGTAAATGCCATCATTGTATTTTTAATTGTCCATATGCTTGATCCATCATGTTTCCCCAGATGGCAGGGCTGTTTGACTACTGTCTCCTCATCTGTGCCGCCACGGCTGGGGTCTCCGCCAGGTACCCGAATCCCCAAGGTGGAGACGCCCCTGCGGCGGGCTGGCATTGCCCACCTGAGCAGGCAGGGTCAGCCACTTCCCTGCGGAGAGGGGCTTTGGTTTGCCGGGGAGGGGGGCTTTGCCTGCGGCGAGGCCAAAGGGGTTGGAGGGTCTTGTTTCCCTTATGGCTGGTCTGCATCACGGGACTTCAGTCCGTGCAGGGACACTGTAGGGAGACTGGATGGCCGAGGGCTGGGCATGAGTCACTGGTGGGGAAGGAAGGAATCCCAGGAACAAGGTCTGAAAGCCACACAGCTCAAGAAAATAACTTC